CACGACGCAATGCTCGTAAATGCTTCTCTCAACGACCTTGAATATATTGACTCATGGTTTAGCAAGGATACTTTGCGTGGATTGCCAGTTAAACTCAAGATACGACTAACAGAGCGATCGGCAAAAATTTAATATTAACAATAGAGTGAATGGACTAACTGCTGTGGTCGACGAACGGCAAATCAAGAGAAGACGCACAACTCTCGACGCCCCCTTCATCGTCACTCGGGCCGTCATCTCTTTAAAAATCGACTGTATTCGCAAATGCAACAGGGAAGTTGCATTCGAGAGATCAGCGCGCACGTGCCGCATGAAGAAGGAGATAGAGAGAGAGAGAGAGAGAGAGAGAGAGGAGAAACAGGATGGGGACGCCGACGCAAGCGCACATCAACCTCCTACTTGTTTCCACATGCAAACATTTGACCGTCGAACTCGCTTATTCGCGCGCGGGCTATGAGATATTAATGTTCGCGAAGTGAGATCCTCTCACTAAGGACGATAAGTGATAGGCAAATAGCAAGTGGCCCGTGAGCAGTTTTTTTTTCTTTTTTGAGATCTCGGTACGTCATCTATCACCTATAAACCAGTGCTTGGATTACTTGCCGTCAAATTTCTTAGCTACTCCTCGGTGTCGGGCTTATTATATAAATAAAATATGCCCTGCAAATGCATATTAATAGTAAAATGGCGATTGGCTTCATTACAGTATTAAAACGTTGGATCGATAATTTTTCATTCTCAAGTATTTACTTGCGATCGGAGGAATAATTTTAAACAATAATTTAAAGCGAATTGCCGACGTTGAAAATCCAATCGACACTCTCGATAATCATAACATCGTAAATTATCACGTGAGATAGAACGATTCTATATTTAACGAATATATCTGTTCAAGATTATTTGTATGACAAAACTTTGGATATGCCTAATTAAATTACTAACGACGAATGCTAATTAATTTGTAAGAAATATCTCAATAAGATATTCGACATTAGCTAATTTTGCGGCGACAATTATTTAAAAATTACATTATTTCGTCAAATATATTCAACGGTGCTTTTAATTAGTCCTGAATACAATCAACTAATTTAGAATAATTGGAAAGCTTATCAGTATCGGCATGTCGAGACGAAGACACCTGTAATTATTTATTAAATTTCCAACTCTTCATTTACCAAGTGTGAATTCTGTTTTTAAAATATGCCTAATAATAAAAATATTCATAGTAATTATTATTAATACAACTTATCATCTTTTGTACATATTAAATAGTGTATATTCTCATTATCAGGAATTGATAAGAAACTCTTTCATATAATCCAAAAAAGAACAAAATCGTATTTTGCCATTTAATGTGACATTATAAAACAGTTGAATGAGACGCATTGATTGTAAACCAGAATATTAATGGAAAGTAACGTACCGTTAATAATTAATAATAAAGAAAAACAGAATTATTTTTTATTCTTGGGGGGGGGGGGAACAACAAAAGTGTTCATGTATTTGTTTCATTGGATCGTTTTAAATAAACTTACAATAAAATTATCGCAAATGATCGTTTGATTTTTATTTTAATTTTATTTTTCATTAGAAATAGGCGTCAATAAATTTACTGCTTTAAACAACATTTTTATTTTATTTATACGTGTGAAATTTAATCCCTTGTAAGTTAAAAGTTTAGTTAATATAATAATTATTTACTTAAAACGTTATAAATTCAGGCCATTTGTTTTGTAAATTAATAATAATATTTAGTTTTTTTTCTACTATTTCGTCGTTTTCATTGGAAATTGAAGGAAACCATCAGCCTAAAATATATTAATTAATATTATCAAAATTTATTATCATAGTGATTTTTAGATTTTCCAAAAATATAATTTCTATTGTATTTACCATTGCATTTGTTGTACTTGTACGTTATATATATATATATATATATATATATATATATAATGTCAAGTGCCAATAAAAGTTCAGGTGTGGCTTTGTATCGAATGTACGTTTAATAAATCGAATTCCTAATTAACGCAGCACCCACACATATTGCTCGAATTCAATGTTTTGCATCATACATTGACATACTCGTACACATATGTACGACATATGTACAATCGTTATAATGATATATTTTATATTTGTGTAATTCTGAAGAAGAAACAAATATATCTAAATGTCAATAGCAAAAGTAAATTCACGTACTTACCTACTTTACTTTAAAGTTCTTGTATCTCTTTATCGCTTTAGTAATTGGATACAAATTTATCCTCTTATCTAATAAACATATCATTCAGCTTTTATTTTTTTTTATTAAAACTATTTAAATAACGGACGCTGTGGCATTTAAAATATAAATTATGAAAATGCGCGCATGTGTAAGATACAATGAAACGCCTTGAGCCTCTTCGAATTGTAGTTCGCCTTGATGAAAGCTTGAATTTGTTGTAGAAGTGCAATAAGTCAATGATCCAACAGACGAGGTTGAAGTTCTTCTCTGTTGCTTGATACACTTACGGGTCGATGGACATGCTTGCCGATATTTCAATGCTGACTTCCCTCTCTGGACTTTATCTTCTATTCAGTGAAGATTAAAGACTAGTTGCATGCTGCTTGTTGAGCGAACTGGTTCACGTCTGAAGATCAATTTTAATCCACGAACAGACATGTACAAAATCTAAAACCTTCAGTAAGTGATATAATGTAAGGAGACCGACCGAATTAGGTAGAGTGTCAATATGATCTATGTATCTCACAATAATGGTTGCTTATTTATATTTAATAAACTCGTAGGTTAAAGTCAATTGCAATTATAATAAAATTAAGCTTGTGCATAGAAACTTATTGTAGGTAGTATTTTCAAAATTTGGACATTTTTTCATACTCTGGAAGAAAGTTAATGCTATATTGGAAAGTAATTTGTGAAATTATATTTCGGCTCTTTACGAATTTTTAACTTATTAATTGACCAATATAAAGTAAGTTAAACCTACATGTGTATATATATATATATATATATATATATACATGTATATAATATATATATATATATAATTTTATTGTATTATAATATAAAATCGTAAAAAAAATATAAAATAAATAAATATTTAATACAATACATTAAACGTTGTATTTATTTACTAAGGCAAGCGATTAACTTTATATCATTATTTTCGACTACATTGACTTCAGCATATGGTCAAATAATATACGTAGTATCGTCATAATTACTGCAATTCTTGTTGTTATTATTGCCGTTATCGTGTTTCTTCTATTGCTAATAAATTAATTATTAAGATTTCAATCTCGCTTATAGAAGGATAATACGTGACAGGTTCAATTATACAGCACTGTAATTGCTGCTACGGAAATTCGTTGATGTACCAAAAATATCTAGTTATAAGAAATCGTAAGAGTATCGTAAAATCAATTCAAGTATATCATTTTGTTGTTTTTCTAAATAATACGTTAATATGAGCCTAATCAAGAATTTACTCTATGTCGCATGTCTAACTTAAATTTATAATAAAATCCATATAGTTTTCATAACACTTTAAAATATATTTTCGGATTAATAGATGGATTGTACCTTGTCACCAATACCTCGCGTTCACTATTTCTAAACATTGAAAGTAAATTTATTTGTACCTAATTAATTTTCAGTTTTAAATATCTCGTAAAAATTGAACTTATATACAAAAAAGTGATTGTTCAATATGAACAATTGAAAATGAAGATGAAAGTGAAAATAAATTATAAACAAATTGTGTAATAAAATGTTGACTATACGTCGGGTAATCACGAAAACTTACATTAATTTAAATTAACGTATTATGATAATGAAATAATAAGATATATTTTAAAGATATTTCGACTGACAAAATGCAGGTCTAGCGATATATGAGAGAGTAGTAGTACCTTTTATTATAAGCAACGAGCTATTTTTTGAACAATATATATTCTTGTTTCGACACAATAAAGAATATAAGAAAATGAAGAAAGATAAAAGAAAATATTATAAATAAAATTTATTTTTATGTGAAATCGCATAAAAAAAATTGTAATTTACAATTTGATTATGTTTTGTTGACGTACATAATTAAAAACTCTGTGAGCTTCTATTATTCAGTTATTATATCTCACTTTTCGGATAAGATAATATGATTAATACAACATTTAATGAGCCTAGATAAGCGAATAAGTAACTGTCGAAATTTCATAAAAATGTATTCGGTCATTATGACGATTGCAAAACATAAACAAACTACGTCTCTTTGTATGAATATAAAGAAATTTAATGCCAGATAAACGACGGATGAATATAAGTTTTTTCTTCAAAATTCTTATTTGACGTTATTATTATTATTATTATTATTATTATTATTATTATTATTATTATTATTGTTATATTATTATTATTATTATTATTATTATTATTATTATTATTATTATTATTGTTATATTATTATTATACTATTATTCATATTATAACATAGATTGGTTTGAAAATTGCCACCTCCTTCACTGTTCGTAACAAACGATCGTCCAATGTATGATTTAAAATAGCTTGTTATCAAAATAACAATAAAGAAGTCTATAAAGAAGTCTAAATTCGAAATTCGAATTCATTCCAACGAGATTTTTTTTCTTTACAATTAAAAAACTTCCGATCTCTAAGATCCCTACTCGTCCACTATTACAATGACGTTTCCTACTAACTTAACGAAAATCAACGAACACTTAACGAACACCTCTGACATATAATAAGAGGCTGATAACAAATTACGATGTAATAATTATTTAACACCTCCATGGCTAACTTTTACAAAATAATTATCGCCGAGGACAGTCACTGGGAGTTCCTCCTCCATCATCCTCCGAGATTCTCACCTCAGCTTCTCGTTTCAGCAATTGACATCTCGACAACGACCTCGACGGGCCACACTTCTCCTCGTCGGCTTATCTGCCCGGCAGGCGGATGCAGAGGACCGCCGCAGGCATCGGTCGATAAAACGCTTTTATAAAAGGAGCTCCGGGCAATGGCCAGAAGCACCAGACTCGCGGCGTCGCAGACGAGCCAACAATACCTCGGTACACTCACGAGCATCGTCAAGAGGGTCGATCAGATGCTGCGCGCCATCAAGACCAAGGTATGCTGAGTTTAGGGACTTTAACTAGCTACTTTCAGTCTCGATCTTAAGTATCGCGCGGAGCTAAGTCCGTCGACTGCAAATTATTCTTTTATCCAAGCTTTATCCTTATCTTTTGCAATCTGGGATATGTAAATTTACGATTATACATGGCGTCTGCTTGTATGAAAAGCTTCTATCCTATGATTCTGAAGAATAAGAGATCTATTTGATGACGCCACGCTAGCATAGTTAGAATAAATAAATATTGTCATATAATAATGTAAGGATAGGACAACTTGAAAATAACGATAATATAAATAAAAGCAAATCGATTTCCTTGACAAACTTGGCTCTCTCATTCGATCGGCATTTATCTCATAAACTTTGTTTCGTACGCGAAGAAAGTTATTTGCCAAGGGCAGATAATGCCGCGACTAAAATTAGCCAATTTATACATTTTTAAAATTAATTGGTCTAAATAATTTCTTAGTAAGGAAGAGAATGAGCAGACACAATATGTTTACAAAAAGAAAAAGGAATTCTTGTTTACAGCGTTATCGCTTTAATGAGAGATAATCGTTATTATGAGCTATATTTGTTGCGTATACATTAAAAATAAATAAATAAATAATAAGCAATAACGTAGTTTAGATTTCAACGAACCGCCTATTTATATTTTAATGCTTGGCACGCCGATGAATTATTTATCTCGGAAACGATATTGGACGACAAATTATTAAATTCACCAGTTATATATATATATATATATATATATATATATATATTCATACATATTTATATATTTATATGTAAATACGCAAAAAGTAAAAACGAAGATAATAAGAGAAATGCGCGTATTTGGAACTTTCAGTTGATAAGATGGAATGACAGTCTTGTGCATGGAAGATCGATCGTTATCAAAAAAGCAGACGCCACTCCTTCGTCGTCAAAGGCGATCGCGTTGCCCGAGTCTGCCGAAGTCGTTATAATAGGTGAGTCAATGATGAGTCAAGTCCAAGGTAAACGGATGTGAGCTTTACGTCCGCAATGCCGTAATTTTATAATCGTGATAATTGGAAGCAGCATATTATTATTATTATATACGTTTGTAATATCAATAACAAGTTGCGTACATATTAGAATTAGACCCCGATCGTCATGGTTTTAAAATAAGTGATTTCAAGTATTCGTATTAAGGTATTTAAGTGTTCGATTATAAATATTCATTAGGCTATAGTTTTAATTAGCTATTAATTTACAAAAATTTGTAAACAAAACAGAACAAAACAAAACAAAATTGAAAATTTAATATTATTTAATAATATTAGAATTGAAATAAAAATTTTGCTGTTCAATAATATATAACAATCAATGTATACTCGTGAAATATGTCTGTAATAGAAAATTCTTTTGAATTTACCATTGTCGTATTGTCCAGCTTGCCAATATGCTTGCCAATGCTAAAGTATCCTTGTACTACGTAATGTTAATCTAAATTTCTACACTCAAACTTTCCTGCTAAAACTAATTGCCCCTTAATAATAGACTCGAAAATTTAATCGATATGGCAAAATATTTTTTTGCTTTTGTAAATCGCGAAAGGTCAATAAGCCCCTCGAGCTTCATTTTTCATCGAATCCCCTATGCTTATTTTTATCAACGATCGGCTAAATAATTCCAATAACTCCCAGTATATACGTGAACAAAACAGGGGGAGGAATCGCCGGGAGCAACGCCCTTTATCAGCTGGCTAAACGAGGACTTCGGGCGGTCCTCCTCGAGCGTTCGAAGCTGACCGCGGGCACGACCTGGCACACTGCCGGCATCGTCTGGAGTCTGCGCCCCTGCGAGATCGAGATCGAGCTGCTGCGCGCCACCCAGGAAACGCTCGAGGAGCTCGAACGGGAGACGGGCTCGAGCGCCGGCTGGACCAACAACGGCGGCCTATTCATCGCCCACAGCGAGACGCGCATGGACGAGTACAGACGACTCGTCGACATGGGCAAGGTCTTCGGGGTCGGCGCGAGTATCCTCGGGCCCGAGGACGCCCGCGAGCTCTTTCCCCTCCTGAACCCCAAGTCCTTCCAGGGGGCGATATTCTCGCCCAGGGACGGATCGATCGAGCCAGCGGCAATGGTTGCCGCCCTCGTCAAGTGTTCCGCTAAGCTTGGCGCGCAGGTACGATTGTCCATTCGATTCCATTGCACCCGAGTGACGAACCGAGGCGGGTTACGCGAGCTTATTCGCCATAATTTGCCCACCTGTCATTATTGACAGGTGAATGTAAATCGCTCGTTCTGCACAATCGGCGACAAGGTTTTTCCACTGATTTTACTTCGCCAACGAATGGACACACGCGTACTACAAATATCTTAACTTATGAAAAAATTTACAATCGTGCTAAAAAGTATTACCCATATTTTCATTTGCCTTTAATAACAATAATACAAAGCCAATCGATCAATCGATCAATCAACATGTCAAACGTGAATAATGAAATTCGGATGATTGAGTTATTAAGTAACTGGACGACGTGTGCGTAGGTGATCGAGAACTGCCCGGTGACGCGGATCCTGACGACGCGGAAAACCTTCGGCTTGACACAGATAACCGGGGTAGAGACCGACCACGGCATCATCCGTACGAACTGCGTACTAAATGCCTGTGGCGCCTGGTCCAGGAGCATCGCAAGGATGGTGAAGTTGGACATCCCATTGACTCCCATGAAGCACGCTTATATCATTACCGAGCCCATGAAGAACGTGAGGGGGGCGCCCAATATACGCGATCACGACTTCAAGATCTATTTCAAAGTCCAGGGGGAGTCGCTAAGTATCGGGGGATACGAGACCAATCCCATTATTTTGCGCTGCGTGAGTTCGGTCAGCCTGTTTACGTGACTAATGTCGGCACGGTGGGGAGGATAAATCGAACGGGGAGGGAGATTTTATCGAATGCGCAATGGAATTACTCATCGCTGAGTACACTAAAAAATGCGCTCTATTGTTGTTAATTGAGTGAGTTGCATTGCTAATTGGAGGACAATTTGGACGATGTAATTGGTATTAGAGGGGCGTATGCCAAATTAAAACTTTTGATTAAGTCAGATAACGATCGGCCTATGTTGGTGAAATATATCGAATAATTCGATAATTGAGTATAGTATATAAAACGGTCGTTGTTTTATTTATTTATTTTTCTGTATTTTGTTTTTTTTTGTTTTTTTTTTTTGTTTTTTTTTGTTTTTGTTTTTTTGTTTGTTGGTTTTTTATTATAGATAATTCAGAAAGTCGCGTAGTGAAATTTTAAGACCTACAAATGAAAACGATTACTCAAATAAAAATTGCTTATTCTTTTTGCGAGAGTGTAACTTCACGCGAGTGCTAAATTAACGCTTACTTTCGATATTTGAATATTCGGAAATTATGTATATATATATATATATATATATATATATATATAACAGTAGTGATGAATTCAGTGCTCGGATGTAATTATGCGCGTTGCGATAATAATTATAAAGAAATAATATCGATGAAATATTCTCCTGAATATTTCATACGTTCCATAAAAATTTCAGCGACTACTAATCAGCCATTTCTAATAGATTGGACAATCGAATTCGAGCCACTTGAAAGTAACTCAACTAATTAGCAACCAATCTAATTGGCTTATTATATTATTATATTTAATGAACGAGTAATAAGAATGAGTTTCGTTTAATTAGCGAAAGTCTTGTCGTGATCTGACTTGGAATTGAAGCTGTAGCTTTAATCGGGAAAATCTTCAGTGATTCGAGCTCTATTAATACGCTCATAATCATAATCAGAACTCGAATCAAAGGCCAAACTCTTATCTAATACTCGAAAAAACATTGTGAAAAATTAAAAAAGGTCCTGGGTAATGATACATCGAGACTAAATTAGCGATTGGGTGCGTCAGGTGCCGCAGGACTTCGCGTTCGGGCTTTACGAGCTCGATTGGAACGTGTTCAACGCGCACCTGGAAGCGATGGTGAAGCTGGTGCCGAAGCTCGCAACGACGGGGATAAAGTCGGCGGTCTGTGGTCCGGAGAGTTTCACGCCCGATCACAAGCCGATAATGGGTAAGTCGTGTGTGCGAGTTCCCGGCCGTTTGCACGTGCCGCGAAGATGTTGGGACACTAAAGTACCGAGTAATTGGGATATCCTAGGCGAAGATCCGCGCTGCGACGGCTTCTTTTACTCATGTGGCTACAACAGCGCGGGCATGATGTACAGCGGCGGCTGCGCTCAGCAAATCGCCGACTGGATCGTCAACGGCAGGCCCAGGAAGCACATGTTCTCTCATGATATTAGGAGGTAAGCCGTACGAGGCCTGCGGTACTTTTTGTAACTTTAGCGGCGAAGGCTTAGGCTTGCTTCCTTATCGTATTAACTTTCTCGTTTAATCGACTACCTTTCGCGATCGATTTCCTTCATTCTCATATAAGATTTCACTTTCTGTGGGGTAAATAATTTGATACTTGCTTTGTTAACGAGAGGCATCGGAGTATCGACAAACAATTGGTAGAAGAATACTGCCTGCCTTGAAGGCTCTTCAAATTTTAACGCTCGGTCTTTTAAAACCTACTTGTATAATGCAAATATAATCGTTAATATCGTTAATATTCAATGAAATAGTTGAAATCAATAATGTCTCGTGAATTTTATCATTTTTTTAGTTTAACGTCTTGCGGTATTATGCTTTAAATGAATGAATTTTATCCTCGGAATTTATGTTACTTTATTGCTCTATGGTGAATTCAAGATTCACGCCCGACCAAACGAAGGATAAGGTTTGGGCGAACGAAAGGACTCACGAGGCTTATGTCAAAAATTACTCCATAATCTTTCCACATGATCAGCCGTTAAGCGGAAGAAATTTCAAAACCAGTCCACTTCACGAAGTAAGTCATCTTGCCTTTTAAAGATAGAAAGGCGCGTTAAGGGGACGCTTAACAGAGCAACTTACATTACAAAAAAAAAAAAAAAAAAAAAAAAAAAAAAAAAAAAAAAAAACATATTTCAGATGATGATAAATGAAGGCGCCGTGATGGAACAGCGACAAGGATGGGAGAGACCGGCGTGGTACCTGAGGGAAGGCACAGCTCCGATTTTACCTTACGATTATTATGGGAATTATGGCACATCGAAAAACGTGAATCACAAGTACGAAGAAGTTTTGGCACAAGATCACACCTTTAATTTTCCTGTTCATCATGCTAACGTGAGATAAAATTATTCTAATTCTAATTCTAATTTAACTTTTCTCGAATAATAATTTAAATAATAAATTACGTCATTTATTTTTAAGTACGGGCCCGTGCTGCTCAAAGAATTGATAAAAACAAAAAATAACATGAAAATATAGAGAAAAAAAATAAAAGATTGGAAGATATTTTTGAGATAAATATTGTATAATAATAAATTGCATAAATTATCCATGTGGCTCGATAAAATAATTGCATTCACTGTGATATGTATAATTTTTATTCTACTCTCGACTCGTTAACTTTACTACAACTGTTAACTTAAAATTCTAACAAACTTCTAAATTTCTTTTTACGATTTATCCTCTAAATATTAATTCACATTATAAATTAAAAGAGACCATATAAAAGTAGAATATAATACTTATATAAACCTTATATAGACCTTCTTTAATAACAGATAAGGGATGAAGCATATGCTTGCAGAAATAATGCGGCTTTATTCGATATGTCGTGTTTTGGGAAATTTTATCTCTGCGGTCCAGACGTTCAAAAAGCTGCAAATTTTATTTTTACTGCAAAAACCGATTCGAATATTGACAAAACAGTCTACACGTGCGCTCTGAATAAGCACGGAGGTACCGAGGCCGATTTGACAATTACCTGGATATTGCCTGGATCAAGTAGCGTAATCGATCCTATTTTCAAAGGAAAAGCCTTGTACATAGGTACTATTATTTTTTCAATATCGTTAAATCTATTAGTCACGCTAGGTTTCAACCTTTTTTTTTTTCTTCATTATGTATATATATATATATATATATACATAATATACATACATACATACATACATACATACATACATATATACATGTGTGTGCGTAATATGTTTATATTCACACGAAATTTTACAAATTGCTAATAAATCCGTAAATCTACATTTTTCTAAATTACTAGCAATTTCAAATACTGTGCATATTATTAAATACTAAAATAATTTAGTCTCTGGAAGTATATCATCCTATCATACGTGGGCTCACATCAATAAAACTATTGCTGAGAATAATTTCAATGTCAGTTTACACGATGCAACTCACCAAATAGGAATTTTATCCCTCCAAGGTCCAAATAGGTAAAACGTTCGATTTACCAGTATTTTACTTATATCTTACACAATTTGATGAATATATTTAAACGTCTATATTACAGTAAAAAAATATTACAAAATATAGTCGACGAGGATATTAATGATACGGAACTTCCATTTTTAACATCTAAATTGGTCAGGATTAATGGGAAGCTTGTCAGAATATTTAGAATTAGTTTTGTTGGCGAACTGGGTTATGAATTGCATATCCCATTACAATGTTGCAAAGCGATATATCAAGCAATTTTACAACGTGGAAAGCCATATAAAGTGAAACTGGCTGGCTACAGAGCTTTATACAGTCTCAGTTGTGAAAAAGGTTGTAAATAGTAAATTTTTGTTTCCATTTAAAATCATTTAAACCACTTTTCACATATGATTTATTGGAAGTAATAATGCACATGAATTTACCATGTGACCCACATTATCAATGAAATGTTCATTTAAATTTTAAGGATATCACTTATGGAATGCTGATTTGAGAGCAGATGATAATCCAATTGAAGCAAATTTAGGATTTATTTGTAGAAAAAATGGAAAATATTTAGGTAGCGATGTTGTTGAAAATTTGCGCAAAAATGGAGTTAAAAGGAAATTGGTAACGCTGCACATCAAACAGTGAGTATTTGTAAAAATGAATTTGTTAATTTATTAAAATATAACGTTAAAATATTTATCTATTGGCAAACTATAGGCAAGTTCCAATATGGGGATTAGAAACAGTTTATAGAAATGGTGAAATAGTTGGTTACTTAAGGCGTGCTGAATATGCTCACACTTTTGGTTACAGCATCGGTCATGTGTAAGCATTTATCTGTTTATTAATTGTATCCGTAAAGTATCTTATGCGTGTTATTCTATATGATTTAATTTTGTGCTTATAAACGTGAATATTTGTAGATATATTAAACACCCTCGCAATGAAATTGTAACGACAACATTCTTAAAGTCTGGCAAATACGAAGTGGAAATATTGGGCCAAATGTATCGAGCAGAAATATATTTGAAGAGCCCCTTTGACCCAAATAATAAAAGATTATTAAATAATTATCATGAATTATAAAATCATTCAAAATTATACGTCTTCATTCTTATTAAGAGCAAATGTTTTATTTATTTTTCGATATTTACATAATAGTGAAAGAGATTAAGATTAATGTAAATGAATTATGAATCTAATGACAAATTTGATATGCTATTGTATAAACAGTAACTGTGATTCGATATGTTTAAGTTAAATCTAGATTTGTATGTATAATCTATTAACGCACAAGATCTATAAATCAGATATATTGTTAAAAATAATATTTACACTAGATTTACTAGATACAATATTTACGCTAGAGCTATTAATTTAAATTTTTTTATAATTATATTCATATGTATAAATAATTTTACATATTTTTACCTAACAATTTTACATTTTAATTGGGTAACATTTTTATACGCTTAACATTAGCCAGCTAAAGGATTAGCGTGTATCGTTACACTATTAATCCTAGTTTCTGTAAGTGGCTTATAATTTTTTGGATTAACAGGTAGCTTCTCCAACTGCTCGAGTGTATCTAAGCCATCTATAACTCTAAACGATAAAAATAATTTATATGAAGAAATAAATTTATAATATGATATTCTATTATATATGTATTAATAGTCTTACCTTCCAAACAATGTATATTTTAAATCTAAATGTGGTTGTGGAGCATATGTGATAAAAAATTGACTTCCATTTGTATTAGGTCCATTATTGGCCATTGAAAGTAGTCCTCGTGTATTGTGTTTCAATTCTTCTTTAAATTCATCCTCGAATTTTCTATTCCATATAGATGTACCGCCTTTACCAGTTTGAGATGGATCCCCGGTTTGAACTATAAAACCCTTAATATTTCTATGAAATATGCAGTTGTTATAGTAATCCACGGCACAAAGTGCAAGAAAATTCTGAAAAATAATCAAGATTTTTTTATAAAGTAAATAATTGCTTTGTTTCAAGTTGAACTACAGTTTCTATTCGATATTATGAATGTGATAATATGGACTTTGCGATTAGATTTTTTTTTTTTTTTTTTTTTCACGAGATTAATGAATTGATTACTAAAAGCTGATTCGCCTCTAACCCTATATATGTGCCAAATTATGATTATAAAGATCCAACGATATAGGTTATATTCTTGTGAAACGAATTTTAAATGAGAAAAAATTTTGGAACAATTGACTTTCGAAAGTAGGTAAAAAAAAAAAAACAAATTACCTCGCATGTTTTAGGACACAATTCACAGAATAATTCCAATTTTATATCACCAACATCCGTATGTAATGTGACGCTCTGTGGAAAAGCACAAATTTTGTAGAACATAAAACATTTTGATAACTAATTCAAGAATGTCATAAACCTTTAATAGTTTACAAAGTTAAGCTTATAAATCACGTATGCGGACTAACCATTTTATGACGTTTAACGTAATTTTATTATCGGGAAACAATATCGGCCAAGCGTGTTGTTAAATGAGTAACCAAAACCTCCGAACAAACAATGTTTTCAAATAACACAGCCGAAGAATCGGAAACATGCGTCCTACCAATATAGCATCGCGCATGCGCTCATATGAATAAACAAGTCAGTGCACATGTACGCGGCGTACATTCACCTCGGCCATTTTGAAATATGGCTCGCTCCACTACGCAACTCAATATCATATCTTTTCGAATGATTTTTCGAGCGAGGCAAAATATTTTGATTACTCTTAACAAAAGACTCACTTTAAACGCATAAGCTATTGCTAATAATTAGAATCAGCTCCTTAGAATGTGACGCTAAAGTAAGATGGTCGATGAAAGTGCTACTGATTTTGTTTGTAGTATGATTAACTATGTATTCGTACTGCTGCCAAGGACTTCAAAGAATTTCTACTCCAAGCTTATAATATAATTTTCATTCTTATTTATATTAACAGGCGCGATGTAGGTTGCGGATTTAAAAAAAAAAAAGAAAAAACAATTCCGCATTAAGTAGGAAGCATTAAGGAATTCACGTTTATTAATAAAGGCTATCAATTTGATTAACTATTTGAGCAACTATTATCAAAATAAAAAAAAAAATAATAATATTTTGAGTAAATTTTACATAATAATAGTTGAGCTAGCGATAATGTTTAAAATAAGCAGAAAAGATATTTATTAATTTGTATCAACGATCGATGATGAAATAATAGTTATATCGAAAAGTAATTATATTTCGAAAAATATGCTTGGAACAAAATTTTTTTTTTTTTTTTTTTTTTTTTTTTTTTAAATAAAAATGCCAATTATATAAGATGTGTAACTAGATAATGTTTCTGATCGTTGTTATTTTACTATATAGTAAGTAAAAATAAACCTTTTCGTAATACGCATATCATTTTGCACACGAAAAATATTACCTAATATTTCATTTGCTGTATTCTTTAATAATAAATTAAAATGCCATTTAGCTAGCTTGCTAGTTACATTAAATCTTTCTCCAAAAAAAAAAAAAAAAAAAAAAAAACTCTGCCGCAAAATTGAGTAAACTAGATATTACAACATTTAGTGTAACTCAATAAAATTGTTAAAATATATGGTTAAGTCACTAATAGTTAAGAAACTTTCTAACTTTCTACCTTACTTAATATTATCATAAATTTTAATTAATCTAATTACAATAACAAAACAACTAATTCTATTTAAATTGGGTATGTATATTCTATCATAAATTTTTATATTAAATGAAATAACAACAGCGTTATTATAATATGATTTGCGGCCTGTGACACATGATACGCATTACTTATGCATAAGTACATTGATTACACAATCAAATCTAATTCAATTAAATAAAAGGAATATAATAAAGGAAAAAATTTTTACTCTAAATCGACCTGTGGATAAATATTTCAATTCAATAATCGATACTTTACTTTACTGCGTGTTAAAATAATGTATGATGAATATATTAATGAATTAACTGATCGATATAATTAATAAATTATTAATAATGTTCAATGATCTGTATAACAAAACTTTATAATTTTGAGAGTTAAAAGATTGTAAAATCTGTGATTATTTTTATTATTATGCATGAAATTTATTGGCTTTAAACCAATAATTAAACTTTTGAACAAAGTTATTTCTTATTAATTAATAATACTTTAATGCTAAAAGCTTAAATGAAGTAATCAAATAAATATGTACCCTGTAATTGATTGCGAAGGATTTTCAAAAATATAAATTACTTCAAACTTATCGTTAAACAAGTTTCAACTGTACATTTAAATTTATATTATTATTATCAATAAAATAAAATAAAATACCAAGGCATTGAAGTAAACAATATTACAAAATAAATAATAGAAAAAATTCAAAATATACCATTACAGTATGTAGAAGGGACAGTGTATGGCCTAACTCAATATTAAAATATTTCTAAATAAATGAATGAATGTTTATATTATTAGATTTATCATACCTAACAGTATATATTACTAATAAATAGTTAATTTATTTATAAATGTAAAATAAAATCATAAAGACAGATAATTGCTAATTTAGTCTTTTATACAAATTTCAATAATTCAGTAATTAATGTGATCTTTTCAAAATATTACATAACAATATTTAATAGCATAAAACATTATTTAATCAAAACGAATCTAGTGATTTCATTCATCAATTTTTGCTATAGAAATAGTAATAAAATAAGAAGTATTCAAGAAATGTTTTATTTATAAAAAGCATATTAAAAATAATATTTTGTGAATTGAAACATCATTGTATTTATAACTTTGTAAATTTTCATTTCTTTACACTCACTCTCTAGATAGGAAATTAAACATTTGCCAGTGTTTATTTTTTAGTTTATTGAGAAATTAATTATTCATAGATGTGTATTTTATGTATATACACATACATAAATAAATCTAAACATTGTTATTTGGCTCCAATAAACACTGAAATAATGTATTTAAATACGCATTACTAAGAATTCAAAAGTTTGAACAAAAACTTCACACAATCAATCAGTTTTAATATACATAATTTTAAGTATGCAAAATGATTACTTAAATTCTCTATTGACTATATCAGTTCAGTTATTATTATTATCTTTAACTTTTTTAATATTAAAACGACAAAATATAATTGGCTCACATATTTTTATTTATGAATTCGATTGTTTAATAACAATGATATAATTATTGAATACTTTACATAATCAATTGTCGAAATTAAAAGATAATTTTAGCGAATCACTTTTATATAATTATAAAAAAAATATAGAACAATGTCTATATAAAAATATAAATAGAATCTTCGACTGCATTTATAGTATAAATAATCATTTATATTTTCACTAAATATAAATAATATAAAGTAATTCACCTTATTTTAAACAAATTTAGAAATTTTAACAATCATTCTGATATTATATTAAATAAATATTTTACGTGCATATATATATATATATATATATATATATATATATATATATATATATATCAATTTTACTTAGATTTTTGTAAAGCCTATGATTTATTGTAACATCAACTCTAATAATTAAATTCACATCTAAAAAATAAGTAAATGAATTTTCATTATTTTATATGAAATAATAATAATATATCATATAATTAATAAAAATTTTAACATAAATTAAGACTTTGTAAATAGTGATACTTGTTTATGATGAAATGTGATGTATATTAATTAGGTGGAAAAGAGAAATTATCTTTACCTTTGTTATACAATTATTAGATAAATAAATAATCAGAATTTATACTTACACGTTTAATAAAGTAGTTTTAATCGAATTATCCTAATGAAAAGTTTAAGAATATCGATTGTATTAAATAATAAAATTGTTAACAATAACTTTCGATCGAATAACAATATCATAACATAAATTGTAAATTACGATTCGTAATTTGTATGATCTTCTTTTCTGCAATCCTTTACACGAAATAAATTTTTCTTAATTTTCATTCTTCAATCTTATTAAAGCCTTTCACATAGTAAATTTGGTTACTCTTTTTATCTGTAAACTTAATAACCAATAGTAACTCTGCATCTGGATTAGATAAAATAAATAACGTAATACCGTAACGTATTTTTAATACAATCAAGAATATTAATCTGTGACAAATATAATTTTCTTATATATTTATTTCTATTAAATACTATAGTTTCCATATTATTTATGCTTGAGAAATGAAACTATATTAATATTTCAATAACATATATATTATATTTAAAAATAACATTATCACAGAATATAAAAAGTGTCATTAAACTAGTCATTAAACTAAATTTGATAATATAAAAGATTCACTCATTCTTTAGATGATGAATGATAATTTTATGCAAAAGTAACTAACTATACTAAATGATAACAATTAACTAATAATTATTCCATTCACAAAACATTGTACTACCTGCTTTTCCATTGTAATATTGAATAGACATGTGCAATTATTATTAACGTGTAGAAATAGAAAGGTTCTTACTTTTCATAAATCAATGGAGCGAGAGACAATTTATCTACACGTCATTAAAAAGCTTAATTTCATCTTACATCGTATCCTCAAAAGCTTAACTTTTTAAGTTATTGCTGAGAGACCTGTTTAAGCATTCAAAATTTATCAAGTATTCTAATTTTTGAAAAGAAGATAAAAAGAAATGGTTACAAAACAATTAAACATAATTCTTCGGATTTGTAGTCTGAAATAATTTTCGTTTCCTCGGAATAATTGTCCTTTGATCCATTATATTTTATCTTTCGAATTATCGATTTTTTTAATTAACACATTTACTTTAATTTTATATAATGACGCATTTTTAATAGCATTTGATTTGAATTTTAAGAGAAAGTAGATAATCATGCAATATCATTGCATATTACATTACCATCTTCTATATTCAAAATTATGTCGTCAACAAAATCGAGAATGAATTTCAAGAAAAATATATATCATGGGCATCGACATTGAACAAATTAATAAAGAGAAATTCGAAAATATTAACAATTTTGTTAATTATTTTAATTCAATACATGCTAAAATAATAAATGTATTTTCATAAAAAATCTCAACTATGAATAACATTCGGTAATATAAAGTAGAAAGGTCTTCTGGAATCACTCAAGCTGATTATTAACTACTAAAAGTAATATTAATAAGTAACATTATGATGAATCAGTGTTGAAAATATTTTCTCATTGTATTGTTCATCCCTGAATTCAAGCTATCAAAAATATTCCAATCGTCTGATTTGTTTTATCATTTTGGACAATGTGTGAATTTATCATGATAAATAGCTTTATATCTCTATCATTTTTTATGCAAATTTATAGTTATATTTTTAATATGCCCAAATATTCATAAATCTTGTATATGTCAACGGATTAGTCATTGGAAGTATAAGTTTTATACTATATTTCTAATATATGTTTTAATATTTTGATATTATTATTTAAGCTGGCATATATTTTTGGAATAAGCTAATATGTTGAATTTTCGAGGATATAATTATAATTTCGAGTGAAATTAGACATAAATTTGGCAGAATTTTTTTTATTTAATGTATTAAAGGTCATCACTAAATATTATTGATGAAACCTAAAACTAATTAGAGAAAGAAATTCCTAAACATGAATTGTTAGTATATATTGTTTTTTAAAGTGAAACTGTAACGTAAAAGCTATTATTATTAACACTTTATTATTATTATTATTATTATTAATTATAATTAAATTAAGTAATTCTTTAAATTAAAAATACTTTGTAAAATGTGAAATTTACTAACGACGTCTCACACTATAATATAATAATAAATAATAATAAATAATGGTAACATTATAATATTACGTCATGAATAATATTTATGTATAATATTTAAAAGTTGCTTTTAAATGTTGAGTATAAATATTTTCCAAGTAAGATCAATTTTAACTCTTTATAGATATTTACAAACGTTTACTTTTCTTTTATGATATATAATTAATCTGTGCACAATATTTTAGGAAGAAGTACTAAACTAAGCAGCTACTAAATATAAACAAGATTAAATATTTTAATGAGTTGGTGTAACAACAAAACATTTATTGATATTACCATGCACGTAGAATATACATGTAACATATTTTATTACCGAACAATCAAATGGCGATTGATACAATTGAAAGAGTCAAAGATTCGCTCAAGAAAGTATTCATACTACAATTTTTCTAAAACCATTTTAAATTTATACATACACATTTCATAATATGTATATTAATATTGATAAACATATGGAAATGGTAAATTTTTCATGAATCTTCTAATGATCTATTACACACATACGCATGCATAAGAGCACCATTTATTATTTTTAAAACTAGCAGAAATTTTAATATAATATATTTGATATTTTACACCATAAAATCATTTAGCTATATAATTCTTAATCTTTTATATATATATATATATATATATATATATATAAACACAAAATATTTTAATGTTATCGAATGTATAATTATATTGTGTTATACAGTTACTATTATTTAATATTAATTAATAAGACCATTGTCACAAAATAAAATTCAACTGCTTTAATTATGATGTATAATATCTATTATGAAGGTTCGTCATTATTATAAAATTTTTCCATTTTATAAATTTCTATATTTTCTGTTATGATAGTATTCGTTGTACGTAAATTGTATGAAATCTGAGCGTCTATTAAAAGTTGAAGTTATTAATTCATATACGAAAACATTTTATTATAAATTTATCAATTTTCCTGTCATCTTAACGATAATATTTGTCTGAGTTTAAAGCGAACAAATTGATTAAACATTAAAATAATTTTAATTTCTCGATTGAATAATTTCATATACATAAGCAAAGTATTTTCGAAAATATTATTTTAAATAATCATACTACAACCATCAGTGTTCACCGTATAACAACTTAAAACGACGATAACCTTTAGTAACACAGTCACATTTTATTTATCAATATTTTGCAATAAAACATTGTAATAACTTTGTAAATAAGTACTTTTAAGTAGTAAAATATTATAGAATCATGCTATTTTTATAGGTGATTCCTAAAGCAATAATTGGGTTTTTGATGTTTTTACTAGAAATTACTTTTTAATGATAAATAAATAACGCTCACGAATAACAAAGCGTGTGTCTGAAAAATATCAAAAAATATGTATTATAAATACGTATCATAAATTACTCTTTAGCTTTAGATGATTCGTTTCGTTTTTTATACGTGTTTAAATTATGTGTTATTATTTGCATTTTGTATTAAACTTTTTATAAAATATTAGCAACATATAACAAAGAGGATATCATTTTAATGTAAAATAATAAATTTATTCTGTAAGTTCAATTATATTTATACAAATTATATAATATATTATGTCTCATATGAAAATAAAGAAATGAACGCATAAGGGGCTAAAAATTGTATTATTATTATAACAAAATAAATTGTAAAATTATTAAGACGCGTATAATCGAATAAATGACATAAATCACAATTTCTTAAATAATTTTATACAGTATACATTACTAATAAATAATCAGCCGAAGCTAAACGTAATTAACAATCGTTTAGAATAAAATGAATTTGAAACTTTTTAATTATTAAACTTTAATATGCATTTAAGTTAATATTTTGATTGATATTAAAAAGTAAAAGTATTGTTTCATAACAAACTGAAAAGATTCATAAGACATATTAAAAAATGCGATTTTCATGTAATTTCTAGTGCTGTTGATTTTTGATTAATTTAATAATTGAGTGATATGAAATTTTTTATTAAATTTTAATTAATCGATTTCATGTGTCTAACATATTTTAGCTTGAAAAATTATAACTATATATATACGAGGGAGAGAGAGAGAGAGAGAGAGAGAGAGAGAGAGAGAGAGAGATTGACGAGGCTTAACTAATGTAGCGTTGTAAAGCGATTGTACATAGAATCCTTGGAGAAATGGAGATACAGAAAGTGAGTAAGTGCCAGAGATAGATATAGATAGATAG